TGTAGCGAATTTTAGCTCAACGACAGGAAATATCAATAATTAACCATAACTAGTTATAATTAACTATTCATATTTTAGAATCGCTGTAGATATTTAGCTGACCACTCAGGGTCAACCGTCTTGTCAATTCTAAGAACGTTAATTTCCTGGTTAAGGGAAATAACTTTCTTACTGTACAATTCTATAAGTTTGTAACGTAAATCTGCATGATTATTGACTCCGGTTATGAGTAAACACTGAACACGTCAAGTGTGATACAAGTAAGGTTTTATTAACTACATAAACACTTAAACTAGTCTAACATACTACATAAACACATTAAGCCGGTCTGACATACACATACACACACACACACACATATAGTTGGTATAGGAAAGGGTTAAAGTTTAGCACTAAAGAAAGAGACATAAGGAATGACATTTATGGAACCATTTTGCATATTCAGCAGATCTAAAACCTGAGGGAAAACGTCAGATTCTTAGTTCAAACACACCTTGTAAAAAGGTGTAACTGATACTTAATGTATCAATACTTTGATAGTTTGATACTTGCGAGTCTCGGCTGTCTGAAAGAGATTACTGATGCAATCTTAAGGCCCAAGGTCTTGCTGAAATTAGTTGATGAAAAGAACCAGGTTGAGTCAGAAGTAACTTGAAGAATGGAAAAGTCAAGGCCGAAAGGCCTGGCACCGAGCCTTGATATCCTGAAGCGCCTCCTCACATCTTCATCTCAGCATCGACCGAACCACCGACTGGGGCGGTCACATGGTGTGTCAGCTTTAAGGTCAGAGAAGATCCCCGCCTCTCAAGATGGGCTTATCCAATGAGAAAAGCCGGAATCCCAAGTGGGCGTTTTGAGATCCTGTGGAGTTTATGACTCTTTGTGTGGAAACATGGTACTTTAGTATCTGGAACTTGAATCGAAAATACTAAAGGTTCTCAGGGCACTAATATATTGCCTATGTACCAACATATAATATACATTCTTGTTTAGATCATCAGAAGGCGAATTCATAGATACTAAACAAGCTATATGTAAGGTTATATGAATGAGTGGTTTATCGTAAGCATGAATAAAAATAGTCTATAATACAACAGATTAATACAAAACAGCAATAATATACACAATGGCCTGAAGAATATGTGTGTTCATTCAAAGAAAGGTTTTCCTATGAATTAATTAGTAGAAAAGTCAATTTCTACTGTGCATTTGTGCCCCTTGTTTCTGGAGAATGCAGCTGAGAGTCGGCTCGCATTCCACAAGGTTGTAAATGTATCGGGTTACCATGAAACCAGGGTCCTGTTCGGCGTCCTGGGGTGTTACAAAGTATTTGTGAAATCTAAAAACCAAAATATATATTGTGTGTTTGATTGGTCCAGACGCTACATTAGTTAGGAACAGAACCCTGATGTCACTGACCTGCTTTTCAGTTTTATTTTCTTGTGTTCGGACAAAGAGAGGAAGTCTGCATGGACGTCAGTAGAGCATGATTCTAGATTGTGAAAATATTAGACATGAAGCTGCTTAAAGTTTATTATAAATACCCACCATTACTTACCAAAACGTTAACAGCCAGTCAGAATCCACCCAACTTTAAAGAGCGTGAGCATTTAAAGTGGCAGACGACATAACTGAAGCTTGAGTATTGGTGTGGATACTAATATATAGTTATCTTTCTGTAGCCCAAGGTATCAAGAGCTAGTTAGAATAAGCCTCTGTTTGTAGGTGCTGTAACTACACCATCACTCCCAAAAGCAAACTAATATGGCTATTTTCTTAGTAATATTTAATATTTCATTATAGTACAGAAGTTGTTTTATGAGTGCATTTTCTCTCCATTGGCTCTTAAAAGTGTGCAATCGGGACGTATGTTTTGGATGTTTTTCCCTGGCTACTGTGTTTTGACATGGCTCAGAATAGTTGCCAGTACAGTGTGTCCTTGTGGTGCTAATTAGCATAGTTTTCCTGCAACTAAGGATCCCTGCTATAGACCATGACATACTCTTAGATTGACTTCAAAATTATACTGGTATTCAGGGACAGGCATTGTTTAGATCGTACCCAGCAGACCGTTACAATTTTGTCTAGTTAAATGGGGAAAAATCCATGTTAACATCAGTAAATTATGGGGTGCCACAAGGATCTGTGTTAGGCCCTTTGTTATTTTCAATATACATACTGCCTCTTGGCAACATTATTAGAAAACATGGAATTGGTTTCCACTGCTATGCTGATGATACACAGTTATATATTTCATCACGACCAGATGAAATCTCTAAATTATCCAAGTTAAAGATATAAAATATTGGATGACCAGTAATTTTCTTTTATTAAATTTTATTAAAAAGACTGAGGCATTACTTATTGGACCAAAAACCTGCACACAGAATCTCTTAGAATACAATTTTCAACTAGAAGGATGTACTGTTACATCATCTTCTACAGTTAAAGACCTGGGGGTAACATTAGAGAACAACTTACTTTCAAAAATTATATTTCATGTTACAAAAATGGCCTTTTTCCACTTCAGAAACATTGCTAAGCTGCGGAATAGGTTATCTGTTTCAGACGCAGAAAAGATAGTTCACGCATTCATGACCTCTCGGCTGGATTACTGTAATGCATTACTAGCTGGTTGTCCTGCATCCTCAATAAAGAAACTATATTTAGTCCAAAATGCAGCTGCTAGATTTCTTGCAGGTCAAAAAAATATGATCATATTACCCCAATTTGATAATCTCTACACTGGTTACCCATTACGTTCCATATTGATTTCAAAATATTGCTACTAACCTATAAGGCCCTAAATGGTTTTACTCCTGTATATTTAACTGATCTTCTAATGCCCTACAATCCATCACACTCTTTAAGGTCATGAGACTTTTAGTAGTACCTAGGATATCTAAATCCATTTAGATAAAAAAAAAAATCCATTTAGCATTTTCTGTAAAGCTGCATTGAAATTATGTGAATTGTGAAAAGCGCTATACAAATAAATTTGAATTGAATGTTGCGCTAACTGAGTAGCTAACATTAAAATAAATGGGAATGCTAATGCTTAGCATTCTCTATGTATTATATGATTTTTGCAAGTAATAGTCTTCTGACAAAAAGCTCAAACTTACATCAAGTAAGGTTGTCTATATCAATGAAAATTTTATTTTGTGTTGAGAAGGGAAAACATGCAGGTTTGCAAGGATCATTGTCTCTAGCTGAAGCAGAAGATCAAACACAAAGCATTGTGGGTACTATGTCAAAGTGCTGACTCTGGTAAAAAAAAAAAAAAAATATATATATATATATATACAGTGGTGTGAAAAAGTGTTGGCCCCCGTCCTGATTTCTTATTTTTTTGCATGTCTGTCACACTTTAATGTTTCAGATCATCAAAAAAATTTAAATATTAGTCAAAGATAACACAAGTGAACACAACATGCAGTTTTTAAATGAAGGTTTTTATTATTAAGGGAAAACTAAATCCAAAACGACATGGCCCCGTGTGAAGAAGTGTTTGCCCCCTAAACCTAATAACTGGTTGGGCCACCCTTAGCAGCAACCACTGCAATCAAGCGTTTGCGATAACTTGCAATGTCCTGCTGCAGAACCCAAGTTCGTTTCAGCTTGAGGTCACGAACAGATGGCCGGACATTCTCCTTCAGGATTTTTTGGTAAACAGCTGAATTCATGGTTCCATTTATCACAGCAAGTCTTCCAGGTCCTGAAGCAGCAAAACAGCCCCAGACCATCACACTACCACCACCATATTTTACTGTTGGTATGATGTTCTTTTTCTGAAATGCAGTGTTACTTTTACGCCAGACGTAATGGGACACACACCTTCCAAAAAGTTCAACTTTTG